GTGGTTGCTCATGTATCCCAGAATTTGATCTGTGTGGGTCTTCTTTCTGTGTACTGATGTTTCTAGTGGTCCGGACAATGATCCTGTTACTAGGACGTCGAGGAATGCCAATTTGTCATTTTGTTCTGATTCCATGGTGAACTTGTTATCCGGGAAGATGTTGTTGGTGCTGTTGAAGGTTCTGTCCACTTCCGATCGCTTCAGGATCACGAATGTGTCATTCTACATATCTAAGCCAGAGCTTGGGCTGTAGTTGTGGTAGAATGGTCCTTTCGAGTTTTTGCATTACGGCTTCAGCAATAAATCCGGAAATTGGTGAACCCGTGGGTGTTCCTTTCACCTGTTCGTAGATTTCACCATCGATTTCGAAGTATGTTTGTAGGCATAGGTCCATCAGCTCGCAGATATATTTGTTATCCAGTGTTTCGTGTATCTGTCGTTCTTCTAGAAGCTCCTTCAGTGTTTCTCTGGCCAGATCGAAGTTGATGGAGGTGAGTAGCGCGGTGACGTCGAAGGATATCATTATTTCATCTGCATCAATATTTACATCCTTCAGTTTTTCTAGGAATTGTTTGGCGTTATTGATGGAGTGTTCGTAGCCGGCGATAAGAGGTTTCAGTCTTCTCCACAATTCTTTAGCCAGTCTGTAGGTTGGTGTACCGGGAAGCGAGACTAAACCAAACTGTCACACACATCTGAATCCAGGCTGTGTGCCAACCAAATTGTGGTACAGTAATCTTTGTGAAAAAGGAAGACGTTCTATGTTTTGCTTGTGGGGGGAATACTGCCTGGTTGTCCAGGTCAAGACAAGTGAATTTTCTTGCGAAATCCATAACCGGAGCCTTTGGCTAGCCAAAGCCTAACCCACAAGGCAGCGGGGCGGTGTATGAAAGCTGCAATCCTTTGGGGGCCGGTGTCCAGTCCATCGGATAGTACGCCTTTCGGACGGGGTCAAACGTCCAAGGTGCCCAATATACCTCGTTGGCCAATCGACCCGGTGACCACTGCCAAAACCAGGAAGTGGTTCGTGGTTCGTACGCCACCTTGTGTTTGGCTTTGGATCAGGGTTGTTGACCAACTCCCCTAAGGAAAATACCAGTGGTCCACCAAAGCGGTTATAGTTCCGGATGTCGGCTTTTTGTCCTCTCACTTTGAAGGGAAACACCTCTGTCACGAGAAGGCAATGAGTAGGGCTTCCTTAGCAGAGACTGTATGAGACGCTTGGTTGTATGGGAGCATTTCGCAAGGTGCAAGATAAAGTGGCCAGCCGTAACTCTAGACCCCCACCCCCAACCATACTGAGACTTTCAACTGTTATGCTACTAATTCATACAAAAACACCATGTACTAATTTTGGCCCACTCTTTTTGAATACAGCCGGTGCAGACGATGATGATGAAAACTTTGGCGGTGAAATTGACCATTCCTTGTTCGCCGATGCCGGGATTTTCGAAGATCCGTCCGCCCAGAAGCAATTGGAACATCTGACATCGGAGATTGAATCTCACATGGACACTGCTGGTTTTGGTCTTGGCGAAACTGGAGTGACTCCAATGCCTCAATCCGGTAATGCAGTGTCCGAGGTGGAACAGGTTCTGTCCGGTGGCAAACCGTTGGATGAACAGTTGCCCGGTGACCAACCGTCTGTTCAGATTCCACCAATGGCCGGTCAGACACCCATACCCACCGGTGTTGGTGAACAGGCAGCTGTGACGGCGGAACCAAAATTAACCGGCTTACCCACTGTGAGTATGACCACATCGCGAATCGGAATGACCACCATGCAGACGGAAAGCACTACACTAATCGCAAACGAATCTGAGGCATTCGCTCTGCCACCAATCGATGCGACCTCGGTTACCAGTGTTGAACCGAAGAGGTACGCGTGTGTTTTCATCATATCCGTTGTGTGTGTTATACTACCTGGTTCTGTTAAACCATTTTAGTACAGTTGACACTCAGTTACATAATTCATAGTGTTAGGGTATTATTCTCTGAATGAGCAACGTGAAACATTGCCAAAGGCAATGAACCTCAAGACACTTAAACGGCAGACGTCATTTTCATTCTCAGCTGCAGCCATAAGTGGCACCGTCGCGACATCCGGCTGTCTGTGAAAGGTCGAGTGTATGCTGCAGCAGTTCGGCCAGTTCTGCTCTACGGTGCAGAGACTTGGCCATTAAGAAAACAGGATAAAGATGGACTGACGGTGTTTGAACACCGATGCTTACGCAGCATTGCACGAATCTGGTGGGGCAGCCGGAGGAGCAATGAGGAGGTCAGGCGAAATGTTTCAGGCAGTCGCGGCCGTCCACTGGAGCAAGTGGTCGACCTCCATTGATTACGCTGGTTGGGACATGTGTTACGCATGTCACCAGATAGGTTACCACGGCGAGCGAGGTTTGCCGTGGCAGGCAGTGGATAGTAAAAGGTCAAGGGTGGTCAAACTCAGACCTGGAATGAGGGTATGAAAACCCTAACCAAGAGTCTAGGTCACATAGGTCCCGTTAGGTTCCCTGAAAGGGGACCTCGGGATGATTGTACCCCATGGTTAGCTACACTGAGTGATATGGCTGGGTGTCGTAGACAGTGGCGTTTGTGCATCTTCTCAATTTCTCTGTATCATTAATCCACTGAACTTTTCAATCTTCTCTTCCATCTTACTTTCAACCTCTCCTGTCTTTCTCCTAATGTTCATCCAAATGGGCAGCCGACAGATAGCAACCAAAACCGGCGCGCTATTGTGCATTGTTAATGGTTGTACAAACTGAAGCTGAACTCTGTTTGTGCCTGTTAACGGTGTATTTGGTCACCGATAAATTTCCATTCAAACGTCCGGAAGACACGTGTTGACACCTACGGCATTTGGATCAGTGTTGGTTTGCATATATTTCACTTTGGCTTTCCATAGACTAGTATCAAATATGCAAAACCTTACTACCACTTTCAGTTTAGCTTCTTTTTTTCAAATGCCGAGTTAAGCGTCAAATTGTTCCTTGGTAAAACTACATGTTCTCGCCGGTGTCTGTTTTGCATTGGGTGCTTTCACTGCAGGGCGACAAAACGTAAACGGCGTCTAATTGTGGATGAGCAGAAATCAATCCCGAGTGAAATCATGAAGCTCCAAATGGAAGACACATCCGATATTACAACCCAACTAGAATTGGCTCCACCGACCAAAAAACTGATGCATTGGAAAGAGACAGGCAGTGTGGATAAACTGTTCACTTTACCCGGTCGTGCTATTCCCTCGCGTGTGTTGCAACGTCTGTTTGTGCGCAATTTGCACATCGTGTCTGTCCCGGATGACGCGTTGGAGGAACAATTGCAGCCGCTCAAGGTAGGCCCGGTCCCGATCGTGCCACCGGTCTCATCTGCCGATCAAACAATGCCCGAGGTGAGCTCGTTCGACGCGGCACAGGTATGTTTGTTGTCTCGTTTAGTTTGAACGCATAATAATGTACTGTAACTACAGCGATGAACACGTCGTCAGTGGTTATACGGTTTGATTGCTCTCTCTCGTTTCACATTATCTTTTCACTGTGTGCTATGTTGTCACCCCACTAAATTCATCTCTGACCTTCTTAGACGGTGATTATTTTGATTAGCGCATTTGGTTTTTCACGGGCACCAGGCGCTGTTGATGCTCATGGGTTTGGGTTTCACTCCTTAGGAGATTGTTAATTCCCCAAGAAGTAAATGCGATGGAAATGTTTGTGGTAACCGATAAAGAACACTGGACAGCTGTTTCGTCCTATTTCGGACTCGTCAGCGGTGCGTACTCTTTGTGTCTCCGTGTCAGGACTCGAACCACTAACCTTTGGGTCGAGATTTCAAACCCTTACTCTTAAGCCACACACCGACGGTCATCACCTGGTGCGAATGGCTCCGTCAATTTAGACGGGGAATATTCGAATTAGCCTGTTCGGTTTTTCACAAGCAACGCACTGACTATGTGTACCAAACAGGACGAAACAGCTGTCCAGTACTCTTTGTCGGTCGTCACAAACATTTCCATCACATTTAACTGAGGTGGAATTAACCATCTCGCAATGAGTGAAACTCACACCCAAGATCCTCAAAAACAGTACCTGATGCTTATGAACAATCGAATGGATTATTCCAAACTGACTACTCTTAACTGCTTGAACCATTCGCGCAAAGTGATGACCGTCAACCGTTTAGCGTTTGAATTCTCAATCTGACGGTTCGCGGTTCGAGTCCTGTCAGGGACCCAGAAAGCACACACTGTTGACAACTCTCTGACCGGTTTATCGATTTGATTGCATCGTTTTCGGCGATTTGCATAACTTATAATCTCTCTCTTTCTCTCAACATTGCACCAGATTGTCTGATCACCGGTTTCTTAGCGTTTTGCCCCCCACACCCTCCTGGTGTCTCCTTGGTTGCCATTCTGTTATATGCTCCCCTGGTTAATATGGACATCAAAACCAAAGTACATATTGATTGGCCGACAGTACAGAAGTATCCGCGACATTCGAACAAATCGAATGTTCACGCACTATCAGGTAGAAAATAGGTAGTTTTGTCATTTGACATCAGTCTTCCATCTGAATTAAAGGTAACCCGATAAGTAAGGTATCTCAAAAGGTATAAGGCTTCTGGCCCGACAAGCTGTCTCCATCCGTTTCTAAGCATGCAGGTTCAGCCTTGGCTTTAGAGTTAACGAAACTACTGGGATCGGTGTGGGAGAAGGAAGAGGTTCCAACTGAATGGTGTCAATCGGTTACCATTGCAATTCACAGGAAAGACGTCCTCTAGTGAAAACCCACGGAAGAATTAGTTTAATCAACAGCGTCTTTAATCTTCCTGCTGGTATTTTACTCCGTACGTGAAGAGTGCACGCGTGAGAATCAGGCTGGTTTTAGATTTGGTCAAGGTTGTATCGACCACATCTTCACCCCGTCAAATTCTGGAACTCAGGCACTCCTTTCGTAAACCCACCGTTTCTATGTTCCTCGATCTGAAAGCGGCTTTCGACTCAGTCGACCACTCTAAACTCTGGCGTTGCTTCGCTCCAAAGGTTGTGCCCGCGGATACAAAAGGCTCGGTTGGCGTTTGCCAACTTGAGACATTTGTGGTACCGTCGCGACATCCGGCTGTCTGTGAAGGGTCGAGTGTATGCTGCAGCTGTTCGACCAGTCCTGCTCTACGATGCAAAGACTTGGCCACTAAGGGAACTGAATAAAAATAGATTATTGGTGTTTTAGGCAACCACGGTCGTCACTGGAGCAAGTGGTCGACCTCCATAGATGACGTTGGTTGGGGCATTTGTTACGCATGTCACCAAATGGATTGCCACGGCGAGCGATATTCGCCGAGGGGAATAAAGCCAAGGGTAGTCAAGCTAAGACCTAGAATGAGGGTATAAAAACCCTAACCAGGAGAATAGGTCACATAGACCCCGTTAGGCTCCCTGGCTGGGGACCTCGGGACGATGGCCACCGATGGTTAGCTACACTGAGTGATATGGCTGTGTGTCGCAAACAGTGGCGTTCATGCATTCCCCTATCACTATTCTATATGATTTCTCCATCTTCCGCTTGGATTTGCTGTGAACATTCCAATCCTTATTCGGCTCTTTTATCCAAATGGGGCACCAAAAGACAGTAACCAAAACCGGTGCACGAAAATTCGTGATTAATAGTTGTAAAAACTGAAACTGAACTAAAACAGGTAAGTTGCAAGCTTCTCTGGATAATTTGAGTGCTATTGTAGCCATGTTCGATATGCGTTTTCCACCTTCAAAATGTAAAATGCTGCTCCGAAACCCCTTTTGGTCCAGTCCCCAACCTCACCCTGACAGGGGGTAGTAGTTGAGGAAGCAGACAAGTTTTGCTATCTCATCTGGCGGAGGAGTCACAGATGAAATGCTGGTGCGCATTACGAAGAGCTCCGTTGGTATTTGCCAACTTGATTATGTAACGGTAGATTATTCCCAATGTCTCTAGTCAAAAGTGATTATGCCTGCGGCATCCTCTCCACAAATGTGCTTTTCAGCTGCGCTGAACAAGGTGCCTGGATAAACCCTATTCCACGCTGCGTTTAATTTTTTTTTCTGGTACATGTTTGTTAGCTACATCTGTCTTATTCGCATCGTTCCTTTTATTCTGTCCCACAATCTTGGACAGAAGTGAGCGGGTATGTCACAGTTGTATATTTGACTTGAGTTGTTCGATTTTTCATTATTTATCGTCTTCCTGTCAAATTATTTTGTTTTGGTTTTTTCATTCTGATTTGATTTTTTAAGTTATGATTTATTTTGACCATAAGGAGCACAGCCCACAATACCTTGCCCCATTTATTACCTTGATGCATTTTAGGTCCCCACATCCGAAGCTGCTCAACCCGAGTTTCCACCAGCCAAGTCTCCAGCTCTTTCTCATGAAGAACAAGAGCCACCACAGGTGCTAGGTATGCAAAAGCTTGACGTGATTAAGGAAGTGGTTGAAGACGTGGTTGTCAGTCAACAGGCCTCTTCGGAACGCAAAACATCTGATTTAGATGAAGGTCAGTTGCATCCCCCCCCCTCCCCCCCCCCCGCACAT